AGCAACCACGCACAGCAGCAGCAACCACGCACAGCAGCAGCAACCACGCACAGCAGCAGCAACCACGCACAGCAGCAGCAACCACGCACAGCAGCCGGCCCTGAGCTGCCTTCGTGCAACCGCCAGGCTGCAGGGCTCCCGCAGCCCGGGGCTCTGTGTGGGAAGCAGGATCTGCCGTGTGTGCCGAGGTCTCCCAGCCGCGAGGATGGGGAGAAGCTGCCGGACTGCAGCTCCCTCTCTCTGCTGAGCGGGAGCCAGGATCCCTGGGATGCAGCGGAGTGGGAATGACAAAACTTGAGCCCCATCTGCCGGCCGGCCCGGCCTAGAGGCTGGCGACCTTGGAGGACGAGGACGGACGGCTCCAGCCATGGCAGAGATCCAGCTGCCGAGCCCAGCTACCCACCGCACTCGGGACGCAGAACTGGCAGGGAGGGAGGTCTTGGCAGCTTTGGGGAGGCACTGAAGCGCCCTTGGCCAGGGCTGCAAAACGCTGTGAATCCTGCTGCTGCTTTGTGCCCTGGCCACGCTCGGGACRCTCAGAACAGGCAGGATGAACAGTCCGGCCTCACAGAATCCTCCTCCTTCAGCACCAGCCCAGTTAAAATGAGCAGGTCCCACACATTCAGTGATGCCACAGACTGGGAGCAGAGCTAGAAGGGAACCCAGTCTCCCCAGCTCCAGTCAAAAGCTCAGGCCACGCTGCCACCCAGACTGTCACACTCAACTGTCTGTGCAAAGTGGGAGTGCACATTTAAGAGAGGGAGGGAAACAAGGGCACACACGCAAGCACCAAGTGCCAGCAACCAGAAACGTTTCTGGGGTTGCACACGYACAGGCACGCCCTGGGGACGCTCGCGGTGACAAACCCACGCAGCTGCGCACATCTGCTTGCACACAGCCCTGCTTGTGCCAAGACCCACGAACACCCAAATCAACGCCAGGCACTAAACCRGCTCACCTGGGAGATATTCACTCAGAGATGTCTAGAAACTGTCAGACCCTAGAAACCGCCCTGTTTAGGTGCAGTCTGGTTAGGWACAGGTCCCTTTAGCTTCTCACTTGGGGGCTGACATTTTTATTTTGCCCATTATGCCCCCGAAGGGTTTAATGGGCAAATCTCCTGGTCACAATCCTTCAGAGAGCTGGCTCCCTGCAAAAACCGGCTGCTTGTGGCTCTGCCTCTCAGGAAGGGCAAATTCTACTTGAAGATGCTGGAAAAATGAACAGAAGAGCAGGGCAGGAGGGAGGCCAAGAGGCGGGAAAAGCCTAGGAGCGTGAGCGCAGAGCCAAGGGGAACTGGAKCAGGGAAAGGCTGGGGGCAGCCCAGGGAGCTGCTCTGTGAGGGGGGCGCAGGGAGCTGTGTCTGAAGGAAGGCTCCTCTCACCTTCCACACCCCTTTTCCTCGTGGGATCTCGGACAAGCGAGCAGCTGGGGGTGATGAGCACAGACCCCGGGGGAGCCTGACCCGCTCCCACGAGAAGGGGTCGGAATACCCAGGTGTGCACAAAGGCAGCACGTGGGGCGCGGYGGCTGCGTTACCTCCGGACGGCTTGGCTGGAAGACCCGTCCCGGCCCATGCACTCCAGCTGTGCCGCRTAGGAATCCAGGTTGGGCCTGAGGCCGATGGACTGCAGCTTGGAAAGCAGCCAGTCGATGCGGGGCAAACAGCCCTGCGGATGAGGGAGGGAAAAGGGGATGGAAACAGACACCCACAGTGCTAAATCACAACCCTTTCCTTTTTCCCTTTCCACATTTAAGCAAATCTATCCCGACTCCACCCCCTCCTCCTCRCAAAGCCACTTCACAGCATCCAGTGACCTGATCCAGTGGTCCCAAATCAGCTCCATCCCTCTCTACCTGGTTTTTCCGGCTGGTGTGTTCCACCGCCTAGCCTGGACAGCATCAGATGTGTGACCGAATAGCCCCAAAACCAGCCCCAAAACCCGCCCCGTCAAAGGCAGGTGCCATGACACTCGTGAGTGTGGTCACAAGGATGGATTCCGAGCTGCAACCTCTCTTTCTACAAGCCCTTCCTCCTGGGCTAGGACACGGTCGCCCTTTGCCACCCCGGAGCCTTGGCCACGGGGCCAGGAGCAAGTCGGACAGGAGCAGCAGGCCTCCAGCCCCTACCTTTTTCGCCCAGCTCCGCATCACTATGTTGTAGGCAGCAACATTCAAAATCCTCCTCTTCGCAGCGGACCTGTGGTACGTGAGAAGGAGCTTCTCAGCCTCCTCTGGCCGCTGCAGGAACTGCAAGCACTCGAGGTTGGAAAGGATGGTCTGCTCAGCCACCTTGTACTGGCTGCTCTCCTTGTCCTCCAGCATACTCCGCGGCCTCTGTTTCTTCGCACCCTCCGCCTCTGCTGGCCTGGCCTTGCTTGGCTTGTGGGCAAAGGCAGCGCTGAGGCCGGCGGGGCTCTGGCTCCACGTGGGCATCGCGGCCGCCCTCGCGCTCTCCTTGGGTTTGCCCTTGGTCTTGCTCCTCGGCTTGGCCTGTTTCTCTGCTAGCTGGGCGGATAACTTCCTCTCCACACTCAGCTGCCTGACGTACATCTCCTTCTTCAGCTTCTCGGCCCAGGGCCTGGGCCGGGCCGCTCTCTCCTCCTTGCCCCTGGGGACGGGCTGCTCCCCGGCCGGGCCCGGCGCTGCCGCCCCGGGCCCTGGAACACGGCCCTTGTCCTTCCCCAGCGGAGCCAGCTCCGCTTTGTTCACTGTCACCTCCGGGGCATCGCCGCCTTGCAGCTGCTTCACGCGAGCTTTCAGCACTGCCAGGAAACACAGAGCAGGGACAGAAATCAGGAGACAGGAACCCAGCCCGGACCTCCCACAGCACCCAGGAACGTGCTTAGGAATAGAAGGAATGGAAGAGAGGGTCCACACCCTCTCCATTTACCCTTTCTTCCATTTACCAAGCAGCTCTTGGCAGTGGACSCCATGTACACATTGTGGCCCGTCCCAGTGTCACCGCAAGGACAGCCCAGCTGCTGTCGGGCTGCTTCCACGGGCAGCTCCAAGCGCCGCGTGCCCCGAGCAACCCCTCAGAAACAGAGCAGGGTCCGGGCTGGTCTGCCAGGCCCTGGCACCCGCACGAGACTCTTCCCGCACCCCTCGGATCCACCCTGCCCTCGCGCAACTCATGTSCCCTGTGAAAGGTCCTGGGACTGGCCACAGGCGCAGCAGGATCCATGGGAAGTCCCACATCCTTTCCACACTGCCGGTATTTCCAGTGCAGTGTGTTCCTTATACACAGCAYGGAACACTCCTCGGAAGCCGCTGGGCGCTGAGGGAGGGATCCGGACGAGCGCTCCCCACGCACCTTCCAGCAGCTCGCTCCTCTCGCAGGCGCCGGTCCCGCTCGCCTTCTCCTTGGCGCTGGCCGAGTACGCCCGGAGCGGGCTCCACGGGACCCCTGCACGGCGGGACGTGCACACCGGGACGTGAGGGGGCCGCGCTCGCCCCCCGCGGGACCCCGCGCTGCTCCCGGCGGCGCCGCTGGAGCGAGGGGGGACAGGGACCCCCTCAGCTCTGACCTCCCGGAGGGCCCGGGACCCCCAGGGCCCAGATCCACCCCGCGGCAGCCCCAGGGCAGAGGGTGCACTCGGGAGCCCGGCACCCCCGGCCCCTCCAGGGAGGCTCCTGGACCCCGAGGAGCCCCCAGCCCCGTCCCCACAGGGGGCAGGGCCCCAGGAGCCCCCCCAGCCCCGTCCCCACAGGGGGCAGGACCTCAGGAGCCCCCCATCCCCGTCCCCACGGGGGGCAGGGCCCCAGGAGCCCCCCCAGCCCCGTCCCCACAGGGGGCAGGGCCCCAGGAGACCCCCCAGCCCCGTCCCCACGGGGGGCAGGGCCCCAGGAGCCCCCCAGCCCCGTCCCCACAGGGGGCAGGACCTCAGGAGCCCCCCAGCCCCGTCCCCACGGGGGGCAGGACCTCAGGAGCCCCCCAGCCCCGTCCCCACGGGGGGCAGGACCTCAGGAGACCCCCCAGCCCCGTCCCCACGGGGGGCAGGGCCCCAGGAGCCCCCCAGATCCGTCCCCACGGGGGGCAGGACCTCAGGAGCCCCCCAGCCCGGGCCCCGTCTCGCTGCGGACGGACCCCTCCCCTCCCCGAGGACCCCCCAACCCGTCCCCGCGGGGCCGGGGCCCCAGCAGCGCCCCCAGCGCCAGCTCCCTCCTCGCGGGGGGCGCCAGGGCCGCGGGACCCTCCTGCTCGGCCCGTTCCCGGGGCTGCCGGCCCGTCCCGGGGCTCCCGCTCACCCGCGCCGCGCAGCGCCGCCCGCA